ACGGCACATAACAACAACAACAACATACAGGAAAGAGAACCTATAAACTGAAAACTAAACAAACAAAACCACCATATACTTATGAAATATTACAAGAAGTAGGTATCATCAATTTGAACAATGAAAAACTAATAGGACAGGATAAAAACACCAACAGCTAAGAATAGAATAAATGATAGCTTCTTTAGGAAAATAGTGCCTGATACCAGGTAGGAGATGATCAATAATTATAGGCTACTTAAGCAACTTACATCAACACAACTGGTTGAAAATATGAAAAAAGGACAACATACAATAATATCTAGAAATACATTAGTTTTCTAAAATATTTGTGTATTCTTAACAATTCTCTAATAATTTTGTTCTAAAGTTAAAATTATCCAAGATTTTCAACTAGCTTTTTAAATCTATATATTTTCTCCAGTTATCTGTGATAATCATCTCATCTTTAAATCCATTCAGGTGATTTTTACATATGAAGTTTCAAAAGTAGATTTTCCTTCTATTAGCTCTCAATCTCAAAATAATGCAAGTGGTTAGGGGACTGTTAAAAAACAGGTGTCCTAAAGTTCAATCCTGGGTCCTCTCTTCTTTTGTCTCTCTGCTTTTCTCCAATTCTAATTACAGTGACAAGTTAAGTTGATTTGGACTCAGTATTTAACAAAATAAGTCTAATATATCCAGGAGCCGTGGTGGCACAACAGTTAAGTGGTCAGCTGCTAACTGAAAGGTCAGTGGTTGGAACCCACCAGGCACTCATGGAAGAAAAGACTTCTTGTTCTGCTTCTGTAAAGTTTAGAGCCCAGGACACCCCATGGACACCCTATGGGGTAGTTCTACTTTGGCATATAGGTCACTGCCAATCAGAAGGGACTCAACAGCCCACGACAATAGCACAATATACAGCATCAACTTGAGTCCTTTACCTTATAAGCCAAAAGCCTTTTTTTTAAAAAAAAAAAAAAAAAAAAAAAAAAAACTTGTTATTTAGCTTCTCTTTATATAGTTCTACAAAAAATTCCCTTTTATCAGTTCTTTATATAAGAATATTAAAATAATCCACATGTCAAGAAGGGAAAGAAATCACCCTTACATCAATTTCAACAGTATGTAACTATGGAATGTGAGTACTGGAGTTTCCAAAGCAAGAAAACATATTAAGAAGTATATACCCTTAGAAATAATTTATATACTTGAAGAACTATTTTCTGAACATTCATCATAAAAACAAATAACAAGAAAATGTTAAAGAAAATTTATGACTGTAAATTGTTAAACTTCCAAAATAGATAACATAGTCTATGAATACAAATTACCTTCATGAAAATAAATTCTCTCCTAAGATTTAGTACCTTAAAAAGCACTGTCTTGACTGATAAAAATCTGTGTCAGTTTAAGAAAACAATTAAAAATGTACTTACCGGAAATTAAAGGTAATTCTGTAAGAAGAAAGAACATTCAGTTTGAATGTTAGAATTCTAGATTCACCCCAGTACACTGATAGGTGAAAATGAGTAAAGGTGGAATAAACATGTTGGTGTTTCTAAAACTAACAAAAGGTATATTAATTTAATATAGAATAAGAATGAATCCTTTGCTTTCTGAGAAAAAATGATTCCATATCATGCCTATTAAAATGATATGTACTATGATAATGACATAGTTATAAGGAATGGAGTAAAATGTAAGTGGAAATCACCATTGTTTTCCCTACATGCCTTTTACCTTTTCACAGGTTCTGTCTGTACAAGAGCAGCATCTAACATGGCTTTCATCCATAATTCCATTTCCTTCCCTGTATCAGTGCAGAAATAATAGGTCCGCATGTTTGGATGGGCTGCCTGATTGAAAACGACACGATCATTTAAAATGAAAATATGGAACTCTGTAAAGGAAAAAGAAAAAGTGTTTTTTTTTTTCCTCCATATATTTTATTACTAACAAATTTTAAAGAAAGCAGACTTTTATATACAGATTCAGAAATGACAGAAAAAGATTAGTCTTCTAAAACATATAAATAATATATTTTTTTCTCCTAATTTTATCCTTTTTCTTTTATGTCTACTCTAAAATGTGAAAAGAAAAAAAAACTGTGTATGAGGAGGGAAAGAGGTAAGAAATGAAGCACCTACTAGTAACTCTTCCAGTTTACATCCCTAGCAAATTTCATTTACTGTAATTCACATCTCTTTGTTCAAGAATAATGTTCTGTAGCAATCAGCAGCTAAACTGAAATGCACATGTCATAACATTTTCCACTCATGTTGGCAATTCCTATAGTACTTAAAGGTGCTGCTGTTAAATAAAGTATTTTGTCTATAAAGCTATTTTGTGAGGAAAACATACACCTTGTACATATAAAAGATTTATAAATGATCCAAAGTGGAAGCCACTTTTAGCTTTTCCTTTCAATTTCAGAGCTAGAACACAGACTTTTTGGGTTCCAAAGGGAGAAGGATTATATTACTGGTAAGTAGGTAAGTCACACTTTGATGTTTTTTCTGTATGGTAATTCATTCTGCCTCTAGACCGGAGAAATAAAAAGGAGACAAAATAAAGAAGATGCTGATGAGAAACTGCTACACGAGGTGTGAGCATGGAACACACATCTTAACCCTTGCTGTGACATGACAAAGCAAACATGTATCTAAAGGCCTCCCCTGGCAACAGTGGTGGGTGTGTCAAAGAAGAAAAAAGGTTAAGGTGGGGAATTCCATGGGGCAAATATTCTTAATTTCTGTTTTAAAAAGCGACAACTTCCTAGCAAAGATTCAAAGGTAATGGAAAATAAGCAAAGACTATTTCAGCATAGAGTGAGGAAAGAGAAGAGCAATTAAGTATGTAGTTAATCTGCCAACTATGTAAGAGGAATAAACATGGAACCACATACTTTTCTCTGAGATCTTGACTATCTGCTTTATCTACAATGTCAAATCAGTGACTTCAAATTATTTTTAGAAAGAAATCAGTGTATAGACTCAATAAACACACTGATCAAAATAACTATCAACAATTGTTTAAGAATTTTCTACTTACTGTTATGATCATCAGTAGCGTTAATGTCAACAGACTGAGTAGTAAAAGTGGCTCATGAATGCAGAGGAAAAAAAAAACACAGAGGAAAGAATTTGAAATGAAAATTACTATTCTTGTCATAAATAAAATAAAATGAAAATTAAACCAAATAATTACAGAGAAAATATACTTACCATAAATAATTACTACTTTCTAAAAACTCTAGTATGTGAAATCAATGCATGTTACCCTCATTTCCACTCTTTTGCTTAAAATGAAATTTATACATTAAACCCCTTGGGGTTCTTAATTTTTAACACTAGTTTAAAAATAAAGTGATATAATTTTATTTTACCCATAATCCTAAAGCAAAGAATGAAGCATGGTGTTTGAAAACACAAAACAACTTAGCATTAAAGTGGCCTCTTAGACTGTTCCACAAATCAGCTGTGCCACAGCGGGCTTTTAGTCAGAAGGTGTCTCAGGTCTCCTTGGATTTAACAAAAGCAGATTTAACCTCTGACCTTTAATATTCTCTGAAAAGTACCTCATGATAATGATATTCTTAGACCCAAGAACATCTCTGTAATTAATCCATAAGATAATAAATGTACATATTATGTTTGAAAAAAAAGGATGTTCTTTTTTATAGTACTCTTCACCAAATTTATTACAAAAATTTCAAATATACAATAACTTTGAAAGAATAGTACAATGATCATCAGGATATTTGCAGTTATATTCAATTATTAGCATTGTGACATATTTGTTTTCTCTTTAATGTGAGATATATATGTGTGTGTGTGTGTGTGTGTGTGTATATATATATATATATAAAATATATATTTTATAATATGAATAAATAAATAAATTTCTTTCCCCCCCTTAAACCATTTGAGAAAAAAAGACATGAAGACCCTTGATCCCTACATATTTCAGCATGTGCTTCCTAGAGACATTCTCCTGCATAACCAGAACACCACTGATTAATACATAT